CTCGCACTCTTAACCAACTGAGCCACTTGGCCGGTCCCAAGGGCGCTTTTAATAAGGTATTTCAGAATCTTAGGAAGACCTTGGGTGAGTATAGTTATCTTTATTGTGAGATAATTGTAGAGTCAGTCTGAAGAAGCAAGTCAGTGTTGGGGGGAAAATGTTTTTTCTGAAGTGAAGAAAAGGGGTGGAACTTAGTCTTTATTTATAGGACACTGCAAGATATGAAATTCCACACAGAAATAAGAAACTATTGAGAGAGAAACTTTGTACAGTATATACAATTAAAACTTCAAGTTAGTGGATTGTGTCACTGTCTGAGTTAATACTTGACTGCAGTTATAAAAGATGTGACCACTGGGGGGAACTGGGTGAAGAGTATATGAGATCTCTCTGTACTACTGTAATCTACTAGTGATTAAATTACACATGAATCTACAGTTAGCTAAAAATGTGTATTAAAAAATAAAAATGTTCAAGTATACCTTTGTAAAAAGTGCTATAATTACAACCACATTTAAAAAGTTCTTAGTAGAGAAACAGTAAGACAAACGTATACCCAGTGTAGTACATGACACACAAGTGTGTGCCTCAGCTGTGCAATCTAAATGTTAAAGGTCCCAGGAGCACCATCCCGAACTTACAAGTCCAGCCTTCAGAGGTGGTTGCTGGCCCAGTGGTTTGATCTTCATCTTGCTCTGCAGAGAGATACTTCTCAATCAAGTTTAATGAAGCTTTGTACACAGACTTACTTTCATGCTTTAGTAGCGCTTCAGTTTTGTCCAAACCTCCACATTCTTTAGTCATTATGCTAAGTTTCTGAGCGTTACCGAGTTTGCCAGCAGCCTGAAAGACATTTGAAATGGCACCTGGAATGGTTTTGGTATCTTTTGCAGTTAAGGGGTTCAGGAACAGTTGTTATGCCACAGTGAACGAGGTGAGGTGTACAGTCGGTTCACTGTTCCACACTTGTAGAGTTGGGCACAGCCCACACTCCCCCTTCCTTTTGTCTTAAAGTTGACCTTATACCGAACACCAAAGAGGCATGACATTCCCTAGTCAGTGTCTGGGGGAAAATTGAAATACTTTGCCCTCTGACCCTGTTTGAATTAGCAGGGGGTTAATGTAATGGTAAATTAAGTTCTAAATGTATATTTTTAATATACATTTTGAGGTAATTGTAAATTCGCATGTAATTTAATCAATAGATTATATTGGGTTGTCAGAAAAGTCATGACGTATTTTTTCTGTTTTTCGTGCAAAAATGCGTCATGACTTGTCCAACAACCCAATAGTAGTATAGAGAGATCTCGTATACTCTTCCCCCAGTGATCACATCTTTTATAACCGCAGTCAAGTTTCAGCTCGGACAGTGACACAATCCAGTAACCTTATTCAGATTTTCACCAGTTTTACATGCACTATCTGTATTTAGTTCTATGCAGTTTAATCACATTTTGATTCATATAATGGCCACCAGAGTCGTGATACAGAGCAGTGCCATCACCACAGGATCCATCACATTTCCCTGTTTGTATTGCTGCCCTCAACTCGCCTTCCCACCATCCCTAACACCTGGCAGTCACTAAGCTGTATGCTCTAGCTCCATAATTTTGCCATTTCCAGGATGTATATAAATGTAGCCTTTTGAAATGGGCTTGCCTTGCTCAGTAAATTCCTTGAGATCCATCTGAATTGTGCATGTGTAGCAATAGTTCCTTTCTGTTGGCTGAGCAGTCCTCCATGGTGTGGATGTACTGCAGTTGGTGTAACCATTCGTCCATTCATTGGAATTGTTTCCATTTGGGGGGTTGTTATGAATAAAGCTGCTGGGAATGTTCATGTACGGATTTTTAGATGAAAGTAAGTTTTCATGTCTCTGGGATAGGAAGTGCACATTTTGTTTTATAAGAACTTGCCAAACTCTTTTCCAGATTGGCTGTATACATCCCCACCAGCAGTGTGTGATCCAGTTTCTATATTCTTGCCACCATTTGGTGTTTTTTATGTTAGCTATTCTGATAGATGGGTAGTGATACCTCATTGTGGTTTTAATTTGCATTTCCCTAATGGCTGGTGATGTTGAATATGTTTTCACTTGCTTATTTGCCATTTTCAGTGAATTTTTTTTCATGTCTTTTGCCCATTTTCTAACTGGATAGTTTGTTTTTTTTACAGTTGAGTTTTGAGAGTTCTTCATGTATTCTAGATGTAAGTCCTGTGTCAGATATATATTATGGTCTACAAATATTTTTTCCCAGTTGGTAGCTTGTCTTTTCATTTCCTCTTTTTTTAGAGAACTTTAATGAGTTTATTTGAACTGTCTATTCATTCTCTTTAACACAAGGTCTTTAGCAGAACAAAGGTTTTTAGTTTTTTTTTTTTGTTTTGATTTTTTTAAAGACTTTATTGGGGAATTGGGGGAGGGAACAGCATTCGGGAATCGGGGAAGGGGAACAGACAAGTTGCTGTCCTTTTGTTCTTCAGTCTAGTTGTGGAGACGTCACTTCACTGGCCCATGTTGGTATGGTCATTGCGCTCTTCCCGGATGAGGCAATTGCTCGCCGGCCATTGGACGGCCGCTCTCGCCAGCTGCTGGCCACTCATGGTAGTTAATGGCAGCCCACTGCAGCAGGGGCTGCANCGGTAGCTTATGGCAGCCCACTGTAGCAGGGGCTGCAGCCTATGCCGTCGCCGGCGACTCACAGCAGCTCAGCTCCAGGTTGAGCTGTTGTTCAGCAGCATCTTAGCTGTAGAGGGTGCAGTGTCACTGGCCCTCATGTGGGATCCGAACTGGGGCTGACTGGTGTCCCAAGCCAGCTCTTAACCAATGCGCCACTTGGCCAGCCCCAGAATACTTTTTAATTAGAAGACTCCATCAGGGCATAGGTGTTAACATTGTTTCCATTTTTCAGATGTTGGAAGAGAAATTAAGTAATTTGCAGTACTAAGAATAAATAAAAGCTAGATTTGCATCCAGGTTCATCTCAATCAAGAGTCTAAACGTTATGATATACTTTACTATTTTATTTTATTATTGCTGTTTTAAATAATTTTATTTTGAAAAGTATTCAAACAGATGTAAAATATTAATACAGTCTTCCCTTAGGTTTTCCAGTTGTGAACATTTTCCTACATTAGATTTATTTCTAAACACACACACACACACACTTTTTCGGGCTGAATCATTTGAGTTTCATATATCATTTGTAATAGCACTTAATCTCTAAATATTTGAATTTGAATCTCTTAAGAACAAAGACATTTCCTAAGTAATCACAATACAATGATCCCATGCAAGAAATTTCACTTTGATATAATACTTGTATTTAATATACAGTCCACATTATATCTACCTGTTGTCTCAATATTGACTTTAGTAGCTGTTTCCTGCACCCCTGCTCTTTCAGGGTGCAGCCAGGGTCGCACATTATATTTATTTGTCCTGTCACCTAGCCTTTTTGTTCTGTTTTTTCTTGTCATTGATGTTTTTGAAGAGTTTAGACCAACTGTTTTGCAGTACTGTATTATTTTAAAACTGCACTTAGTATAGAAATTGAAATTTGAACTGCCTTTTAAATCAAATTTAAGTAATACTGTGTTTCATGTTGTGGTAAGTTGTATTTTTTTTGTTTTTTTGTTTTTATGAACATTTAGAGAATTATTATTTTCATGAGTGCTTGTTAGCATTAAACACTGTCAACAAAACCTCATGGATAACTTGTGAAAGAAGGCCTGTGTAAATTAATAAACTTCAAATTAAAGTTTTGTAAGCATTTTTACTGTTAAATATAGTACATAAAGTAACTAGAAGCAAGAAGCACTGCCAAGATGTTTTTCAGAAAATTATTACTTAATAAATATCACACCGAGTAATATTTTGTATATTGATTTTAAGTGTTTATAGGTACTTATGTATAAAATGCCTAATAACTTTTTAAGTTAGTTGCTTTAGCGTTTTTACTTAAGTAACTTAAACTGTTGAGTAAACTTAGTTTCTAGTAAGGAAATTTCAGTCAAGCTTAAACTTATTGTAGATTTTGATTTGTTAATGATGAGTAATGCGGTTTTGCTTTATTTTTGACTTTATAAATATTGAATTTTATGAAGCAGTTGACCTGAATGTTCTTGTCTCTTCAGCCTGAGGGGATAGCTCATAAAAGCATAATTTGTGAGATCAGAAGTATAAATAGAAGCGCAATTCAAGTTTGTACTTTAAACAGAAACATGCTCATTATGCAATTGCCATTGACATTTTAAAATTTATTAAGCACAAATTCTAGATACTTTTTGTTTAACTTGTAACTTCTATTTTTTTTTCACTTTCAGGTTTATTCATAATGTTGGTTATGAAACTGAAATCTAAGGTTTCTCATAATTGATAGTAGCCCATCACTAATTTTTAATCTGTGTGCTCACTTCACTTCTGCTGATTCATTTTGGTGGATCCATTAGAACCATATATATCTCTATATTTAATTATATATACTTGCAGCTCCATTTTCCGGGAGAAGCCAGAGATAATGAAGTTGAAAACAACTCCCTTGCATACATTCACTAATGCTATTTGTTGATAGTTATTTGATTTTTCTAGTACTACCCTAATTTAGCTGAAAAAATGATACTAATGGGAAATTGTTTCCTTCCATGAATGTAAGAATGTACCTCTGCCAGTGTGTTTATCACAAGTATTTTGCCATCAACATAAGTATTTGTGAAAATATGCTTTCATAAAGATTCAGATAGAATTCTTCTGTATCTGTGTTGATGTAACACATTTTGGATGCACAGACCTTATACCTACTTTCAGGATCCTTTTACTAATTAGATATCTTAGCTAGTTGCTTATGAAAGTGAGTGACATGAGTGATTGTCTCAAAATTCATGGTTAAAATTCATTGTTTGGATAGACCTTTGAAACTATATTAAACGAAATCCTGTGTTCAGCAAGAAAATCCTAATCAAATAGATTTTAAAATCATACTTCATTTTTTTTCTTTCAGTTCTATAAACATGTGGTACAGAGTGTTGAGAAATTCATTCAGAAAGTAAGTATATAATTTGCTATACCTACACTAAATGTACTGTAATTATAGATTAATACCCTGTGCTCTTCTCTTTAAATCAAATATCCAAGTTTAAATTGTTTTGATGGACTGTTCAAAGTGATTCTATTTATTTTATTTTCTAATTAAGTAAAATGAAAGTGCCCTTTGGATAATTTTAAAAACAATAGTTGTCATGTAGATGTTTTTGTTAATTTGCATTGCTACCACTAGCCTCTGACCCTTGGAAAAAATGGTGTCAATATGACTGTTTTTTTAATGAAATGATAAATTCATTGCCTTTTATAGCTTTTAAAGAAATTCTCGTTTGTCACATCGAGCTGAATGCCTAGAGAGCAGCTCTCCTTTTAGATAAGGTGTGGGGAGAATATTGCTGCCAGCTACTTCTCCTCTGCCGATGCATTTTGTCTCATCCATTAAGGCTTTATACATCTCGACACATTATTTAAACCTGAAGTGTCATTTTCCAGGGGAAGCAGAGGGAGATGAGGTTGAAAGCAGCTGTCTTGTGCACAGTTAGCAATGCTTTTTGTCATCTGGGCTTGGCGACTAGCTTTTACAGTTCTTTGCTCTCCTCTTTGAGATCTGTGCCCTATTGGTGCCACAGTTTTGGGCAAGAGTACATAGACTTAAAACTTACAAAATGATAACTATAGAAAACCTGTGTTGTAGTTGAATTTAGGTTTTTTTCTCTGCCCATGTTCATGTGCCTAAGTGGAAGCAGAACCCATTTTGAGACTCGGGAGTTAACACGGCATTAAGGATGCAGCGAGATTGCGATGGGAGAAGGGTGCGTGGCTCAGTAGTGACAGTCCTGTCACTAACTAGCTAGGTGACCTTGAGCCAGTCAGTGAGTTTATGTGATTCCTTTTTTCCTTGTCAAGTCTTATTTTCTCAATACTTAAAGTATTAGTGAAACATATTTTGAGACGGACAACTAATGAATTAAGGCTAAGACATGGGGTAAAATAACAAGTATGCTGTGTATTTTAGGTAAACCAAAGTATAAAATAAAAATGTTGGTGGTTGGAAAATTTCACTGTTCTAAGGCTTTTAAAAGCCTTTTTAAAAAGGTTTGAATATCAAGAATAGTGCTGTTTAAACATTTTTGTGCAGAGGAATTACCTAGGATTCTTGTTAAAATGCAGATTCTGAATCACTTGTGGGCGGGGCCGAGAGTTCGACTTTCTAACTGTTCCTAGATGATGCCTTTGCTTTTAGTTCAGAAACCACAATTTGAGTAGTCATGATTTAAAGGATAAATATGAATTTATAGATAAATGTTTTTTGACTGATTTGATTTGGAGCAAGGGCACTTTTTTTTTTTT